CCCCCTCACTAGCTTAGGTGCAAACCTTAGACTGTCCAGCATCTTGGAACACCCTCCTGACGTGAAATATAAATTTGTATTGTTTTGATGATTATTATTTTTATTCTTATTACAGGGGTAAGTTGATTGATAGTTTACATTCAGTTTTGGTAGCGCAATGGTATTGTGGTGTTTTTCCTTGTTGCTGGTTATTATGGTTACGATTGTGGAGTCCTGTAGCATAGTGGTTTGATTCTCTGGTGGGGCAAAACCTTAGCCAAGTTTCCTTCCTGCATACGCCTCTGTTACGTAGCAGTAAATACGAACCTGGTTGTTTGTCGATTGCTTTCTGGTGGTAATAATCCTTCCCCACCAAAATATTTGATCACTCAATCCACGGGTGTTTGTGGTACACTGCTGTGCGCAATTGGCTGCAGCTTTTTCCACACAAAATACTTTAAAATATAATCTGTGAAGCATTTTGAGACGTCTCAACAAGGTGATTTGATGCTATATCAAATGCAAGGATTTTATTATTATTAAGGTCAAAAGCATTATCATATGAGGTGATTGTTGGTTATATAAGTAAGGTCATTGCTGGGATAATAGTTTTCATGTTGTAGACATCATTTGTCACACTCTACTTTATGAGTGTTTTGTCTGAATCAGTTCTTTTCATCTGATCCAAAGACATGAATGAATGCGGGGCTGTGCAATGCCAAATATTTGCACTTCCACAGTTTGCTTTCAAGCTGCGACACTGAGTTCTTTACAAAAGATTTGGAAGCTGCAGCTATCAAAAGCACTTTGCTCACATCAGTGATCGGTCTCTGTGGTACTTCCTTCGGTGAATGGGCAAGAGTCATCGACAAAGCAAGTCGTTTGCTCTCCTTAGTGCAAGATCCACCATTCATAGTTCAGGTAATGTGCATTGGATGTTCGTGGCGGGAGCTATTTGCGCTTCAGATGAGTTATGAGAATATCAGGTTTGGAGAGTTGAACTGCAGGGTTGAGGAGGTTTTATTTGTGGGGTTCAATAAACTGGTACTGACTAACATTCCTAAGTGAATATCCTAGCAGATATTCAAATGCTTAGCTCCACTGTGTTTCCAAAGGGGCAGTATTGGAATACAGGCCAGGTGCGAGCAGTAATAATAAAAATTATAATCGTTTAATTTGATATAGTACCTTATCATTTTGTTGAGTCGCCTCAAAAACACTTCACATAATATACTGTGAAGTGAATTGACTGTATATTTTGTGGGCGAAAGTTTGAGGATAAGTTTGAAACATTGAGCTATGGGGAGGGAGCGGAGGAGTGGGATTGATTTGGACAGCTCTTTTGAAAGAGCCAACACAGACACGATGGGCCGAATGGCCTCCTTCTGTGCTGTATAATTCTATTCTATGATTGTTGAAAGTCCCTTCGGGTGGGACATTAGGATATGCTGCATCTGCTGTGGTTCACGCGTTGGCAATGAATTTGGTTTCCAGTTTACTCCTGAGTCTAGGTGACTATCAGCTCAACCTTGCTCATGTCCATGTGCACACCACTATTTGTAGACCAGATCAGCTACCCTCCCAGCTATCCTTTGATATCCACCATAGCAACTAACTGTGATATCCACCATAGTTCATCAGCTAACATACCAAACTTCAGAGTTGTGCTATGCTCAGTGTTAATAGTTAGTCAGCATGTCTCAAAACATACCTCTTTGACTGACTATACTTTTGGTCATCTTCCCCCACCACCCCCCGGCTAAAAGCATCATTTTATTGCGAGTGTTAGAGTTCTTTACCCTGGACTCATCAACTATACTGCTGGTTCTGTCAGAGTTTCTTGGACACAGCAGTGCAGCCCAGCTCTGAGTAAAGGAAGGTATTCTCCACTTATCTCAATGCTGTGTGAATGTCTTTAGAAGGCTTTGCCAACAGGTTATTCCATTAGTTATTGACAGTGGATTGTTCACAGCTTTGCTTTATTCATCTTTATGTCAACATGTTAAAGTGAAGAAAACTGAACAGAGGTGTCTTGGGGAAATCAGGTTTGTGTGTTCGTGCGTGTCTGGGAGAGAGAGAGAGAGAGAGAGAGAGAAACTGGCTTTCATAACTGAACTGGGAACATTATTCACACAATAATTCAATGTAGATTTGCTCCTTTATAATTGATTGTAAAATTATCATGTCTTTCAGCTGCACACTGTCTATCTTTTCTTTTTTGAATCTGCACTAATTATTTTCTTTGCACGGTGAGCGAGTGAATGCTTTCCCCTTCTCCCTGTGACATGCAGATTGCTTGCGGAAGCTGAACGGCATCGCCATATGCCTGCTGACAGATGTAAACCGCTTCAGTTATCTTGCGTCCATTAGCATTCTCTCCCATCCCGAGGAAGCCCACAAGACGAAAGCTTCTGACGTTTCTACTTTCCGTGAGAACTGTGCAACACTTTATTTACGTGCTGTACATCCACGGAAATTTACAGACTCCTCCATGTAGTCCCTGAGCAAGCCGATGTCCATAGCATTTTAATTCAATTTCCTGCCTTTAGAGTGAGGGTTTTCGACTAGGTCAGAAGTGGTGTTTCAAATGCTAATACTGTGCAGTCTTTGTGCAGATTAGGGTTGGCTGTACAAGCGAGAGCTTCAGTCCGAGGTTCAATGCTGCTTTATGAACACCTGTCGTGTTCTCTCACGAAGGGAGAGAGACTGTTCCTGGCTCATTTGACTGCTGTTTACTTCTTCCTCTTTCTTCTCTGTAAAATGAGCATTGCATTGGTTTACGTTGCTATCCAGAAAGGTAAGACTGCTTGGAATTTCTCAAACAAACGGTAGCTGTACAGTAATATCACGAACATTGTGTGTGAAACCTCTTAATGATTATGGTAATCTTGTAGTAAAGGTGGCAGTAAAGGTGACGATTGATAGACGACACCAAGTTTGTGTGTCTGGCATTGTGAGCTGAGGTGTGTAGTGATGGGGTTGTCTATTACCAAGCCAGTTGAGAAGCAGTTGTTGGGAATGCCAACCTTGTGTTATAAATACACTGGGGCCATCTTGATCATTTTTAAGTGTCTGATGTAAGTATTTCTGCTGCTGCCATATTCAACGATGGGAAACCTACTGACTTTTATGAATTTTATTCATGACTTTTTGCCACTTCCCTCCTACTCTTTTCTCCCCTCCCCCTCCCCGACTTTCCTGCTTGAGCTCCCACTCAGTCTCTATGAAGCACTTTGACATGATGTCCAGACATGAAAGGCACGGCATAAGTGTAAAATGTTGATGTTGAATTTGTTCAGGTGGAACTATCATACACAAACTATTTGAAAAGAAAAGACAGGTTTTCTCCTGATGTCCTGGCCAGCGAATCCCCCCAAATAAAATTTGTCATTCACTTCATGGCTATTTTGACAGATATTGCTGTGTGCAAATGTTCTACTGCGCTCTCCCACAAATCAATCACCACTCTATAACATGTCCTATGAAGCACTTTGAGACATCATCCTTAAATATATTAGATATATAAATATAATAAAAATGTGGGGGTAGAAGGGTTGGGCAGACTGTTTTGTTTTGTGCCAGTGTGCAGCTCTTGCTGAGAGTAACACAACACAGCTTTCTCTCCTCTCCAGTTTTCTCCCCGTCCTCTCTCGAAGGTGCTAACTCACGATGCTGTAAACTTCCGCAGGGTGTCCGTCACCTCTGCTGCCTCTTCCAAGCAAGCGTTCCTCATGTGTGAGCCTAAACACAGTGAGCGTGGGCATCCACCTAAAATCGCAGCTGAGAACTGTGGCCAATATCAACACTTACACTTTCCAGCATTGGACAATCATCAGGAGCTAAATCCCTGGCTGATTTCCTCATTCCATATCTTTTTGTTGTTGAATATGTAACTGTTAGATTTATTACCAAGCTCAGTTCACTTGTACCCTTAGCATCTTAAATACTTCAGTAAGATCCCTCCTGATCCTTCTCTTCTTCAAGACCTTCCTCCTCTTTGACCAGACCTTCAGCCATCCTTCTACCCCCACTCCCCCTCCCCTCCACCCCTCTTGATTTCAACCCCCAGCTCGGGTGCAAACCCTTGATGGTCCAGCCCCTTTTGAAGTCCTTCTGACATGAAAGGCGCCATATCGATGTAATAAAAACAGAAGGCAGCATCTATGAAGAGAGGAAAGTGAGTTAATGTTTCAGGTCAATGACCTATCATCAGAACATTCATTCACTTTCCTCTCTCCATAGATGCTGCTTGACCTGCTGAGTGTTCCCAGCGAATTCGTTTTTTATTTCAGATTTCCAGTATCTGCATTATTTTGCCGTTTGCTATAGTCATTATAATCCAAAATGAAAGGCCCCACCTTCAGTAATTTCTCTGCATATTTCGGATGTCCCAATTCCATCTGTAAGTTCAGTTACCCTTTGAGGTTCCCTCTCCAGTGCTAAGATCCCCCTGCAGCTCATATAAGCTCATGCTTATACTCATACTTTGTGTGGGGTTACACAATTGCACTTGTTCAATGAGTCATTAAATGGTTTCAGCTAATGGAAGCAGGAGAAATAATAATAATAATCGTTGCATTTGATATAGCGCCTTATCACGTTGTTGAGGTGTCTAAGCGCTTCACAGAATATACAGTAAAGTGAAATGACTGTGTATTTTGTGGGTGAAATATGGCAGCCAATTGCACACAGTAATGTCCCACAAACAGTGGATTGAGTGACCAAATCAGGATTATTTTTTTGAAGGGATTATTACCTCCGGAAAGCGATCTGCCAATCGACTAACAAACAGGTTCCTATCTACTGCTAGATAAATACAGTCGTGTGGATAAGAAAACTTGCCTATGGTTTTGCCCTGCCCAGAAATCAAACTCAGGCCCTCTCGCTTGCGAGGCGAGTGCTCCAACCACTGAGCTACAGGACTCCCAAGAAGTTGGGCACATCCCACCTCGTGCTCTTCTTGAGCCCATTCTTGAGCTAAATTGACCATTCAGTTGATACAGAGTCTGTTTCTGTTGCAGTTACCTGGCTGACCAGTGCTGGAATGGCGGATGTGTCTACCTGATCATGCTGCGTCGGATTAAACGCAAAGCCCCTCTTCCTCCTTCCAATGGCGGCAGAGTTGAAGCCAGGCCGAGCAGCATTTCCTCGGAACCGAGCGGCAGCCCCACGCAGAATGGGAAACGGACCCGAAAGTTTGGCGTCATCTCCCGTTCCTCCCTCAACAGGGACAGTCGGGAGAGCCGCGACTCCGAGCACGAGAATGGATATCACGTCCCTATGGAGGCCGAGTGCTCGAAGGCGGAAGGCCTGGACTCCAAGTGTGAGGCTAAAGACTCGAATGTGAGCGCTGAGCGAGGCCCGGAAGAGCCTCTTCCCAATGGGAATGGCACTTCCTCATTCGGACATCACCACAAACCGCGACTCTCGGAGAGCAGGGTGCCAGACTTCAGGCTGAGCGAACACTCCAATCACGTATGTTGGCTTTATTCCATCCCTGTGGATGATAAGTAATAATAATAATGCCTGCATTTGATATAGGATTTTCATGTCAGGAGGCCGTCACAGGATTCATTGCAAAGTGTAATGATTGTGTATTTTGTAGGCGAGTGGATGAATCCATTTGCATCCGAATATGCAGTCACTACAATCCAGACCGAGTCCTATGAATCGCTGGTTAGACTCCAGCAGTACCCCAATGCACACTCTGGGGTCATTTCAGAGCTTGTCCAGAATTTGTCAAATTCTTAAATAATGTCGTTAACTGTGAAGCGTTTTTTTCCCTGTACATTTCTTTTAACAAACTGACAGAAAACGAGCTTCAGTATTCATACTGAATATGAACAATTTACCAAGTTCTGCACTCTCTGAAATGTGTTAATAGGTTAAATCCAGATTCGGGTGGAATTTATAATAATTCTTGCATTTGATATGGCGTCTCATCAGGAGGGTGTCTCAAAGCTGGGATTTACCAACTGAACCAGGCTCAATTTCTAGATTACAGGATTGGTTTGGATGAAGAAAGTGCTTTGGTCCATTTGATCTCATTCTTCTAGAATATCCATCCTACCATCTTCCCATCACAGCATCAAATGTTTCCCTCTGCCCTCCCCCCCACCCCCCCATCCAAACTAAATGGAAATAACAATTTCCCCAGTACCTTTGTATCTTTGAGGCTCTCTGGTGAACATTCAATGGAATTTCATTTATATATGAAATAATAGAGCTTGTAAAAAAAGCTTTGGCATTTCTTCTTTCGTTCGATTGTTTCTGCATATGTGCTTTTTAAAAAAAAAAGTTCTTTCGACGAATTCAATGGATGAGACGTTCCTTCACACACTGAGCCTTTGACAGAGCAAGCGGTCTATCTGACCCACTTACTAGCTCAGCCACAGGTACTAGGTACTCCCATCGAACTGAGTGACACATTATCTCCCAAAATGTCTGACTGTTGACCCAGTTTTGTCTGTAAATAGAGTTTCAAATGCTCGTGCAGCCTGCAAGACTAAAGGTTTAAAAAGTAAGCAATAAATAATCCTCAAATTTGATGTGGTGTCTTTCATGCTGCCAGGACGATTTGAAGTTCTTCACAGGATTTACTGTAATGTGTGGTGACTGTGTATTTTATAGCGAACGTCGCAGTCAATTTGCACACAGAAATGTCCGACAAACAGCCATGAGGTGAATATCCCATTTTATCTCTGGGATTGTTGGCCAGGAAATTGGATAGGTATTTGAATAGGAAAAAAATTGCAGATCATGGGGTAAGAGCGAGGGAGTGGGACTAGGTGGATAGCTCTTTAAAAGAGCCTGCACAGACACGATGGCCTGAATGATTTCCTTCTGTGCTGAATTAAAGAATTATACAGCACAGAAGTAGGCCATTTGGCCCATTGTGTCTGTGTCGGCTCTTTGAAAAGAGCTTTCCAAATCAATCCCACTCCCCCACTCTCTCCCCATAACTCTGCAAACTTGTCCTCCCCAAATAATGATCTACCTCCCCAAATAATTATCTAATTATGATAACAAAATGGAACAAAGATTAACTCTCAAGAGTGAAATTACAGCTCTAATATTTTCTACATAATACTCGATATCTTTATAATTTAAAACGAAGCATTTTAAGTGACCTTTAGTGAGGGGAAGGGAGATTACATTCCTTTGAGTAATTACACAGAGATGAAATGCATTTGAAACCCGTTATGACTAACTTTGTTGGAAGGAGAAACTGTTTCCTCTGGCGGGTGGGTCGGCAATCAGAGGACACAGATTTAAGATAATTGATTTTTTTTATCCAAAGAGTGGTTATGATCTGGAATGCACTGCCTGAAAGGGTGGTGGAAGCAGATTCGATAGTAGATTTCAAAAGCGAATTGGATAGGTATTTGGAAACAAAAAAAGTCGCATGGCTATGGGGTAAGGGACCACATTGAGAATAATAATAATAAACCATGCATTTGATGTAGCGCCTTATTGAGAAGTCTCAAAGCATTTTATAGAATAAACTGTAAAGTGAATTCACTGTATATTATGTGGAGTCGAGTGACTATTTTCTATTTTAACTCCATTTGCCCGCCTTCCTTCCATATTTCTTGATACTTTACCTAGAAAATATTAACAACAACAATTACATTTGTATATAGTTTTTCATATTGGAAGGATGTCTCCAAACGCTTCACAGCATTTACTGCGAATAATAATAATAAGCTTTGCATTTGATATAGTGCCTTATCACGTCTCAAAGCACTTCACGGAATATACTGTAAAGTGAATTGACTGTATATTATGTGAATTAACTATATTATGTGACGTGGACTGACTGTATTTTCTAGGCAAACGAAGGAGAAGGAAAATTTATCTAACATATGTTTCTTACAACTCCCCTGGTGAGTGTGTGTGAGGCTGTGTGTCTGCGTGGGTGCGTGTGTGGGTGTGAGTGTGTGTGTGGGGGGGGGGTGAGTGTGTTAACAGGTCAAATCTGAGAATCATAGCTTTCTCCTAGGTTTATCCTATGAGGGAATGGCTCCCAAGATATTTCTCTGAGATGCAACAATCTGTTGAACCTCTTCCTCGTCTGTCAGAGCTGTTGAAGGGAGCTTTAACACTAGCTCATTATCAACAGGGTTCTGGTCATACCTTGTTTCACAAATGAACGGTAATTGAATAAGAAATGCTAAACAGCACAGATGTGTTTCCCATCTGCTGATAAACTAAAAATAAATGGCTTTTGGAGATGATGACAATGTTTCCATTCTGTTTCCATGAGCTCCCCACTGCTTGATCAAACAGAGTTGTATCTGAGCCAAATTAGCTACTGTCCTGGAATGACTGGTCGAGGAGCCTGCAGATTGGATCCTCACTGCAGTGAACAAGCTGCGAATCTACACAGATATCCTGCCTGCAGGTGGCAACCTCTGTAACCTGCCCCTGGGCAACGCTTGGGAGCATATCATAAGGGAACAACTTGCGACTTGTGACGTGTTAATTAATACCACGCAATTCCTACCTCTGTCCTTCAGATGAGACATTAAACAGAGATCCCAGCTGCCTATTCAGGTGGATGTTAAAAATCCCAAGGCACTCTTCAAAAAAGGAAGGGAGCTTCTTCTGGTGTCCTGGCCAACATTCCTCCAAAATAAAAATTAGTCACTCGCTCTATGGCTGTTTGTGGGACATTGCTGTGCTTTTCACCCACAAAATACAGTCAAGTCCACTTTACAATATATCATATGAAATGTTGTTATTTCACACATTCTTAAAATTGTGCCCTGTCGATAGATAAAGATAACAACCGTTGGGTTTAATATTCTTTACCCCCTCCCCCACTGACTCTGTCACATTAGTTCGGCTCAAAGCTGAACTGTATCATAGCGTTGGAAATCCGCTTAACTCGTACTGTGCTGTTTCATGGGAAACCAGCTTAACTCCTGCTCTGACAGTCATACGTTCCGACTGTATGAAAGTATCAGCCTATGCACCGCATGCTTTAAGCAGAACTTGTTGCTGCCCAGCTCCCTTGTTCAGTGTGGTCAGCCGCTCATTATTGTACAGCCATTGAACTGAGGTCGTCTGTTCCTTCCGGCCTGGTAGCAAGTTGCTTTTGATTCAGTTTGCTTTACTGAATGCAATACTCCATTTGCCTGGGTGAACTAGGCTGTAAATGCACAAATAGTGTGGTCAATGGGACAGTGTGCAGTGAAAGGACGGTGTGTTCCGTAACCTTGTCTCTGATCACAGTGCGGAGATTTCATGGGGTTGCTGATTTATATTAGGGAGTTTGGTTACAAATTGGTTAATTAAGCAGTTTGTTTGAGTACAGAGCTGCTAGACAAATAGTCTTGAAGCTCAAGCTAAGAGATACAGAGATGTGCTTCATCTCTTCTGAAGACTTCTGTGGCTAGCAAGTCAATTGAAAACTGAATGTATGCACACGCCGTCTTTGTGTGGATTTGATTATTTATTCTCTCCCTTAACTTGTTTTTGTGGGTTCAAGACCCACATATGTACCCAGAGCTCATAATCCAGGCTAACACTCTAGTGTTGAAGTACTCCATTTTCAGAAATACCATCCTATGTAAAGGATATTAATCCAAGGTCCTGTATGCTATTGATAGTCCCAAGAAATCTTGCTTTTAGTAGCTTAGTCAGTTTAGCATCAGCAACCCGCTGGTCTTTTTGGTGGATGTTAAAGATCCCATGGCACTATTTGAAAAAATAAGGAAGTATCTCCCGGTATCCTGACCAACAATCCCTCAGATAAAATTAGACTTTCATTTGATGGCTATTTGTGGGACATTGCTATGCGCAATATAGCTGCCAGGTTGTCTAGAAGTTCACAAGCACTACATTTGACAGGAATTTTCTGTGAAGCTTTTTGTGACATTTCAGTTTCGCAGCGCTCCTAAGATGCTATCCTGGGTAAAGGGTGCTATATAAATGCATGTTGTTGTTCTTGTGTGGCTGTTCTGTTTAGCACCGCTGGTCTGTGTTCAGGTAAGCTGTTTGTATTGTCTGCTGTCCCTTTCATTGAATATTTAAACAGTAAGTTTCATCACCCATTTTACTCCACGAAAATAGTTACTGAATACTGTAATAAATCAAGCCTCCTGTTATTTCACGAAAGGCCTTACAAGAGAGCTTGATGGGCTATGCACCTGGGGTGATATTTGAGGTTACTTGCAGGTTTCTTGACAATGTATAATTTACATGGGAATCCTTGAGATAGATTGTTGGAATGGAATGTGCACTCTCTCCCTGGAGGGACACTTCCTGCCTACCTAATTCTGGAATTAGGTGCAGGTTGGCAAGACCCAAGACTTGGGGATCCCAGAGTGTGCGTTGGGGTATTGCTGGAGTCTAACCAGCTAAAACTGCCCAGCTTGCCATTGATATAGCTGTCTGGCATGGTTTCCTGCTGTTTGTCCCGTTAGGACCTGTTACTTTACTGAGAAAAGTAAGTTTAAAGAAAGTTCACT